CCCCGCACCCCGGGCCCCCCGCCGGCAGGGCCAGCCGGGGCCCCCAGCAGCAGGGCCCAGCCCTCCAGCAGGAGGCAGCCCGGCTGATACGGACCTTGAAGTACCACAGCAAGTATTTGCTCTTGCAGTCCTCGCTGCAGAAGTCCCAGGTGCTGCCCTCCAGCTGCTCGGTGACGGCCCGCTGGCAGGTCTGGGAACAGTAGGTGCAGGTGATGCAGCACAGCCCCAGGTTCTTGGTAAAGTCCTGTTTGTAAAGAAGCACACACCCTGCGGAGAAACAATAGGAGTGAAACCTTCCCAGGATGCACTGGGGGCTCCCTGGGCTGCACCAGGCGCGTGGAGACAAGAGCAGAGCGCTGCTGGGGGCAACCCTGCCCAGCCCCCGGGGCTGGGGACAGAGACCGCAGGGCGCTGGCCCCTCTCACCTCGCTGCGCCTAGGACGGGCGCGAGCGACTCCAAGCCAGCACCTCCAGGCTCCGAGTGCAGGCGCCGCCCGCCAGGCAGGCCAGCCCAGACGCAGGAGAGCAGGTGTGAGGACAGGAGGTGCCCCCGACAGCCCTCCCCGAGCAAGGCCTGGGCCACGCCTGCCCCCTGCAAGGCCCCTCCCGGCCGTGGGGCTGGGCGCAGGCTCTCTCCACCTACCTTCGCTGCAGAAGTTCTTCTCCACCCCCGAGAAGCGGATCTTCTCGTGCAGCAGCTTCTCCTGCTTGCAGTGCTCACACTGGGACACCACCCCCCGCAGCCGCTTGAAGTCCTCGCAGCAGTCCTTGCAGCAGAACTGGTACACCTTGTCCTGCCAGAGACACCGCTGCCCGGGTCAGCCAGCCCGGCAAGCCGGAGCGGGACCACAGCACTGGGTAGACCAAGGCGCAGCCTCCCAGAACGGGAGCTGGGCCCAGCCTGTGCCCCGAACGTCAGGAGAGCGACTGCCACAGCCCCCGCCAGGCTGGGCTGCCAACTGACCTGGCCCAGGAGGCTGAGACGGGTCCCTGCCCAAGGGGGGCTCCACTCCAGCCCCTCCACCCCCCATTCAGAGGCAAAGGAGGCTCCGCAGCCCCCCTGCCCATATCCCCAGAGGCCAGGGGCCCCGTCCCATCTCACCTGCCAGTCCAAGATCTCCGGCTTCCCACTGAAGAGATTGTGACAATAGTGACAGTTGAGGTGGATCCCCCCTTCGGGGCTGGTGCGCTGCAGGGAGGGGGAGAAAGGTTTGTAGGGGCAGATGAACCCAGTGTGCCCCCCAGCTGAGGCGTTCCTGCCCAGCCCCACCGCACCCACTGGCCAGCGGCTCCCCCAACTCTGCCAGCCAGCACAGATTTTAGGGACCATCAGAAAATCCAGCCTGGACTGAGCCCTAGAACCTGGCTTGCGTCGAAAGCAGATCTTGCAGGGAGGCATCCAGACCGCACGGACGGAGGAACCCCACCTCCCTGGGAAGCGTGTGCCAATAGCTAGTCGCCGCCCTGAGACACTGGCGGGGCCAGGGGCTCCTCACAGGTCTCTGGCTCCGTCGATGGCAAGAACCGGAAAGCTGCGTGCTCTAGGCCTGGGCTGTGGCGATCTGCAGGTTCGTCAACACAGCAGACCCCGAGAGGGCCCCCAGGGACCACGAACCAGAGAAGGATCGAAGGCGCCCGGCCAGGTTTATTGTTAAGTAAAACGCAGTGACAGCTGTCAGGAGACTACTATGCACACGTACCCCTAACAATGGGGGAACGACTCGCCCAGCGGGAGGTCCCACTGCCCCCCAAGATACCACCCTAGATACAGGTACAAACAAGCTACACATCACTGCTGACGCTGTCAGGGAACCACCCTCTGACGCTTCCTCGACACCACCCAGCAGCCTGCACCTTGTGGCTTGATTAACTCATCTCTAGCTGTCATTTCCTGGACCTGGGTTGGGATCTGTGGGGAGCGGGTACGAAGGGCTTAACCAGCTGGTGGTCCCATCCTTTTGGAATGTGCTTTCAACTTCTGCCCAGCGCCAGTGACTGCTCTACAGTCGGTGCCCAGCGCCAGTGACTGCTCTACAGTCGGTGCCCAGCGCCAGTGACTGTTCTACACCTATTACCAATGAGTGTTTCGCACGCTCAGCCCTGTTTGTGCCAAGTTCTGTGAGCAGGGGCCTGCCTCTTGCTACATCTTAGCTCTGCTTTATGTTAGCCATGGTTTGTCCATTGCTAGCTAGGCCTCGGGCCTCAGACCAGGCCTGTGCTACCTGAGCATTTGTTTTAGGCCTTCATCTTCCTACTGCTGATGCGGTCTTTCTAAATCTGACGGTGTTTAGCTTAGGCTGCCAGCATCTGATTCTCTGCTAGATTAACGAGCCCCGTATTTCCTCTCCCAAGACGCGCAGATGCTGCGACCAACTCACTTCTCAGGCGTCTGACAAGCTAAATACGTTGGCCTTGAAATCTCTCCCTAGCACACGGGACCCTCACACCCGCTCTGGGGCTCTGCTGGGCGCCCCCCAATGTTTCAGTGGCCTTTCGAAACCGTGGACACCCGAGCTGGACACAGTATTCCAAGATCTGCTTCAGTCAGACGGGACGTCCCCTCCCAGCTCCCCAGTTGTGATGCCCGTTTACCCGCCCAGGAGTCACGTTAGCATCACACTGGGAGCTCCCCTCGGCTGCTTGCCTGAGAACCCAAGACCCTCCAGAGTCCCTGCTTGCCAGGACACGGCCCCCAGAGGCTGGCCCCCTTTGCTCCTAAAGGCATGACTCGCGTTTGGCTTCGTTCAATGGGCCCAGCTTCCCCAGCAAACCGGACCGCTCTGATGCCTGCCCGCCCTCACCATCACTTCTCACTGCCAAGGTCTGGCTCAGCCGCCAAGCCTTCCCGCAGGGGTTGCTATTTCCTTCCAGACCACCGATGGAAATGCTGGCCCTGGGCCGAGGAGACCAGTCCTGTCAGGACCCCACTAGGCGGTGGTTCCCTGGGGACAGGGGCTTTCCACACCGTCCGTGAGCCATTCCACGTGCGCGTGGCCGAGCCGTTTCTTTACCCAGCGTGTCACTCCGAGAAAGCCCTTCCCAGACTCCCCCCGCGCACCACGCGGCTGTCGGCAGCCCTCACCC